AATGGTGTCTGCATCTGGGCTGTGAGGTGTACTCTCCACAGTGTTGAGGGGGGAAGAGCAGCCATGAGGGGGCAGAGTTTCTTTATTACTGTTTTATTCACAGATCAAAAGCACAGCTCTGTTTGGGCTTGAGAGACACTGGGGTGACCTCTCATGTCCTTCTAATTCCTGTTGCCACTGACTTCTTCTCTTCCAGCTGATTTCCTGGTGATACCTGCTCTCCAAGGTGAAAGGTGAGGCAAAGTCTAGCTTCATCCCTGCTCATGGCACTTCCTCCCACAATGCCTACTACTCCCTCCTGGGGCCTCCTCAGTGGGGTGAGAGGAAAGAACTTGACATTCATGTTGTAAAGAGAAAGGATATCTGTCTTCAAGAAAGGGAAGAGCTGCCTTAGGAGGAGAACTGAGTTATTCTTTGTGGGCTGGTGGGTTGGGGCTCAGTGTCTTGCTGGATGTAGGCAGGAGGTTGACCTCAGTTTCTGTCTTTCCAACACAGCTGCTTGCCTCTGCAAAGTTTGCAAGTTGAGAAGACAGTAGAGAGTCAGCTGGCAAGATGGAAGTCATGATCCAACCAACATCACCGCTGCCACATTTTATTGGTTAGAAGATAATTCCAGGTCTTGCCCACACTCATTGGGAGGAGATTCCACAAGGCCATGTGGACCAGAAGATGGAGACCATTAGGCCTTATTATAATCTGTATGGGGATGTTCCAGGTGACAGATGGCAGGCATGGAGGGTAGCACAGTCTCTGAACTGGTTGTGTTCATACACAGGCTGCACAGTCGCTGACCAAGATGATTATAACTCTGGGTTCCATGTTGGACAAGATGATCTACAGAGCTGAGCTGTGTTATCAAAGCAGGGTCCTAGATACAAGATTCACACTGTGATTTGGAAAGCCCTGTCTCCACTTTGTTGAACCTGAGAGGTCATCTTCTCTGATCATTTCCCCCTTTACTTTTCAGACCTTCTAAACTCTAGAAAAGTACCATCACTAAACTGAACTGTTTTGTTTTGTTTTGTTTTGTTTT